ATGCCGGGCAGTGAGGCACCACTAACCGAGCGCTGTCACCTGGATGCAGTTAATGTCCTTTCTTTGCACATCAATACGGTAAAAACCCAGAACTTTTATTCAAGTTGTTACCATTCACTGTTGTAAAAACCCCTTTGCATGCTATAGGCGTGGGCATTTGTAATGTTGGGGAAGAGAAAGCAAATCAAATGTAAGTTCCTTTGACAAAGGAAGGTAGATTACGATGGATTCTGCATACACACACACACACACATTACTACACGCACATACTACATGCATACTACTACTACATACACACGCACGACTCATCTGGGAGATACAAAAATTAATTAATATTTTGTGAGGTTTCGTCAGATGCTGAATGGCCTGCTTTGAATTTCATAATTTCCTATGGCCTGCTTTGAATTTCATAATTTCCTATTTTTATTTTATATTTGGAGCCAAAGTTTGTGCCTATAAACTGGGTGTGGATATATAATAATAATAATAATAATCCTTGCATTTGATATAGTGTCTTATCACGTCTTCAAGACGCCTCAAAGCGCTTTACAGAATATACTGTAAAGTGAATCTCCTGTATATTTGTGGGCGAGACCCGGCAGCCAATTGCGCACAGCAGTGTCCCACAAACAGTCGTGGACTGAATGACTATTATTATTATTTTGATACGCAAGATTTACAGCTGGGGAGGGGGTGTGGGGGTAAAAAAAAAACTTGGTTTTGTGTGATTCCCTCCCAGTGCTCCCAGTCTCTTCCCAAGGGGACCTTTTGTGCAACGAAGTAGAAAATGATTTCAAATGGAAATGCTGATGTAAGAAAGCCAGTCAATAATGGGTTGAAACATAATTCAGAGGTGAGAGGGGAGGCAAAAAAAATCAAAGCCACCACATCAAAGGAGCCTGTTCTTCTATCTGAGCAAAGTCAGCCATCTGGTCTTACCCCATCCATGTAATTGTGTTATGTGTGCATTTGATCCTTGAATAAAAAAACAAATAACTGCTATAATCTTCAGAGTAGCAGAAATCTCACATTCAGTTTCAGAGATATCAGGATTCCATATTTTGTCCGCTGTTTTTCTTGGGTGGGTGGGTGGGGGGGGCGTCATGGGTTGTCACCCCGTGGACCTTATTTGCATCTTCCTTTACTTTCTCAGTTTGTATAACCCTAACGATGCACACTCACCTTGCAAGCGAGAGGACCTGGGTCCGATTTCTGGTCAGGACGAAACGCTGGGCAAGTTTCCTTGCTCCACGTGCCTCTTGTTTACCGAGCAGTAAATAGGAACACACCGAATGAGTGCTCCTGAAAAGCAGAAACCTGAGGCTCGAAACTCTAGTGTTAACCTATAGGTTATCCTTAAATTAATTTGGGGCTCATTTTTGTCGGTAATTTATCGACTTGTGGAATAAGGTGATTCAAATCTGGGCTCCAGCCCAATGACCCGAGATCAGATAACTCAAAGCAGACCGGGGATTTCTTGGACTTTTATGTTCAAAGGCTCAATAATCCATGTATTTCCTCACTGAGCCATCAGGGGACCTTTTTATTATGCTGTGTCTTAATCCCTTGTAACGTATCAACGCTGGATTAGGATTATAAAATTTTAATAAGGAGCTACCATGGCTATAAATGCATTTGATGTAGTATCTGTATCATTGAAATGTCTCCAAGTGCCTCACAGGTAAATACTGTCAAGTATTTAACCATATATCTGAGGGAAACACAGCAGTCAGTTGGCACACAAGCAAAGCCCACAAATAGCTGTGAAATGGATGACTAATTTGGAGGTTTGTTGGCCAGGACACTCACTTGGAGAAGCGCCGGAGGATCTATAACTTTCATCTGAAGAAGAGGTTGATGGGCCTCGTTTTAATGGGGGACCTAGATTTATGTGAAGTTTTTTATTGCATCTTTAGTGATGCGATAATTTAATTTTGAAAAGCACTTCAGTTTTGTTCTTGAAGTTTGAGCAGTTAATCTAATTGTATCTTAAATTGCTTTTCTAAATGTTCGTTTATAAAACGTTTAAAATGTTTGCTGTATTTTGAGGATATTCCCTCTTGGCTCGATAGAACTGGCTGCCTAATGCCCAACAGTCTAGTTTATGGGAGCGAATCTCAAGGCTGCACTGGGTTAGCAGATGGACTGCAAACCCTTATGGATTTCCTTTTGTCAGAAGCTAACGCGCACACAATCTTTCCTCACAGTTACTGTTGCCTTCATTTGCACTTCATCTCTCACTCCTACTCATATTTAGCTGTTTTCTGTTTGTTGAATTTGCCTGATTTGACTTGTTAATTTTATAATAATAGTAATAATAACTCTTGCACTTGATATTGCGCCTTATCGCGTCTTTAAGACGTCTCAAAGCGTTTCACAGAATGAACTAAAATTAATTAACTGTATTTTGTGGGCGAAACGCGGCAGCCAATTCCACGCAGCAATTTATTTTGAAGGGATTATTTCCCCGGGAAAAGCAATCCACCAATTGAATAACATCCAGGTTTATACTTACTGCTAAGTAAACAGAGGCGTGTGGCGTAAGGAAACTTGCCCAACTTCGCCTTTCCACGAATCAAACCCAGGTCCTCTCGTTTGCGAGGCAAGTGCTCTAACCATAAAGCTACAGAACTCCGCTGTTTGAACTGTACTCCACCTGGTCCTAACCTGTCAGACCATTTTGTCTGGAAATGTAAAATTATACAGAATTATAGATGATTATTAATTTATGATTTAATTTAAAAGCTGTATTAAGAACAGCCAGGAATAGATTCCAAGTCCGAATTGAACATTGTTTCTACAATTCTCTGTGATCTTTAATATTTTAATGCAAATCGGTCTAAAAGACCAAGGGCTGTGTCAATTGGTAGCTCTCTCATTCTGAAACAACAGGTCACAGAATACCTGACCCGAAGCTCTACTGTGACCTAATAAAATGATAATCTCTGTGTTATAATCACAAAAATCACAAGGTGTGTGTCTCCAGTGAGTTAACTCAGCACCATTAGAGAACCAGATTGTTGCTTTTTATCTGATGCATTTTTGTTGGGTTTAGATGGTTGTGTGCACAGTTTTTGACCTCATCTGAACTTGACTGTTACTCGAATGCATCTGCAGATGTTTACCGTGCATTGCAATCATTAATCAAGAGCACAGCTGTCTAAAACTTCATCCTGAAGGTAATTCCAGAGTTCTTTACATTGTGCAATTTTGATCACTTTGCAACTTTTATAAACTAGAGCAGCACAATGAACCTTAAACTTCCTGCCTTGCGTCTTCGACCACAATAATCAGATGATGATAACCTCAGAGGTACTGTGACATTGTGAAACCATTTATGAAGTAACATCAGCCTTGCTCTCATTGAGCAATCTCTTGATAACGATGAGGATAATAATACTACGAATAATAATGCTTGTATTTGATATAGCACCTGATCACGTCTTCGAGACGACTCAAAGCGCTTCACAGAATATGCTATATAGTGAATTGACTGTATCTTTTGTGGGGGAAACGCGGGAGCCAGTTGCGTACAGCAGCGTCCCACAAACGGTTCCGGATTGAGTGACCTTTAGAGAACCAGACTGTTGTTTTGTCTTTTTTTATTTTCAGTTTTTCTTATTTGCTCGAGAAGTACTGACAGAGAAGTACTGAACCTTCTAACACTACAAATAACTGGTAATAGTTATTGTGGTTTGTTCCCAAATGTGCATGTGTCTGCACATTTCATCATTTTACCCTTTCTCACTCTTCCCTCCCCCTCCTTCACGTGGCTGTACCTCCTATGCTTTGCATCTCTTATATGAGTTACAAGGCAGAGTAGCATCTTCCTGTCAGCTAAATAAAATAGATAGTAAATGATAAGCGTGCAGTCAGATGTTGTGAAGAGGGTAGTTCCACAATATCCACAGTAGAGACAGAGAAGTACTGAACTTATTGAACAGAACATTACTAGCCATGGGCAGACCATGCCTCAGGAAATACTGGCAACTTCAGCAGGGCCTCTGAACATGAAGTTCAACTTTTTCCGTCATGCGGCAAGAGAAAACCATTAGATCTGAAAATCAGCCTAAGGTACAGTGATTCTGTGCCGAATTGGCTGAAAGTGCTTAACAAATTTGGCAATCTTTATTGATTGCACTATTGAAGCCCCAACAGCAGTATATCGTACCTACAGAAGTTTTACTTAATTGTAATGCAACACAGCAACTGTTTCACTGCCCTGTGTATCACCACACACTGTGACAGTATGTGACACTGAGATTTCACACTAGAATCTCTTTACAGTTACATTTCACACCCTAGGGCAGATTAATGACTGCTCCAATCCTAGCCTAAACTATTCTTAGTTTTCTCTTCGACTCATACCTTAATAGCACGCTGCTCGGGTCTGAAATGCTGTACACTATCCAGCGCCTTGAGACGTCCTCACGACGTGAAAGGCACTATACAAATGTAATCTTGTTGTTGTTGATAGTCACCTTCTGGACACACCTGTAAAGAATGCCCACTTGGGTAAGGGCCACTGACGGGTGTCTGTGACACACATAGAAACCCATCACCACGCTTAAGAGTATCCAAACAAAGCTGAGGTTTCCATGTATCCCACCTACACATGGTAATCCCAGAGATAGATTGTTGGAACAAGATGTTTACTCTCGTTGGAGGGACGCATCCTGCTTAGCTAATTCCAGAAAGCATTAGGCGCAGGTTGGCAAGAGCTAAGGCTTGGGAACCCCAGAGTGCGTTGGGGTATCTGCTGGTGTCTAACCAGCTAAAACCACATAGCTTGCCATTGATGTTGCTGTCTGGCAAACTTTCCTGCTGCTTGTCCAGCGAGGACCACCCTACCCATTAGGACTTTGGCTCCAGGGTTAACAGGCAGGAACTGTACCTTAGAAACGAGTAGAGAACCTTCAGGAACGAGTCAAGAACATTGGAGGTGTGTATAGTGTCTTGAGAATTGTTCAGAGTGTAACTGTATTCTTTTCCTCTTTCAGCTTGAAAAGGGAGATGTGAGTACCCTAGGGCTGCCAGGGAACGCCAGCCATGGAGGCTCGGACACCAATATCAGCCTTGAGGTCCCTGACGGCACCCCGGACCCTCATAAGACTAAGGCCGCCATAGAGCACCTTCACCAGAAGATCCTGAAGATCACGGAGCAGATCAAAATCGAGCAGACCGCCCGGGATGACAATGTGGCCGAGTACCTGAAGCTAGCCAACAACGCGGACAAGCAGCAAGCCTCTCGCATCAAGCAGGTCTTCGAGAAGAAGAATCAGAAATCAGCACAGACCATTGCCCAGTTACACAAGAAGCTCGAACACTATCACAGAAAACTGAAAGGTAATTGTGAGATGGGATAAGGCAACGCTGAAGGATGAACCTCTCTCCTCTCACGAGTGGAGCCTTGGGAAACATTCCTTTTAAAGAGGAGGCGTATTCTCGTTATCTTTGTGGGCTTAAGTAAAACAGTGCAGCAAGGAGAGATGCCTTTCAAACTCCAGTATGTGCATGGATATTTTGCTTCACAACATTGAGGATTTAGAACCTTTTATCTTTTTTAAGTGGGGACATTGTGGCTGCACTGTCTGTCTCTTTTTGGTCACCTCCCCCTTGCTCGGCATCGTGCTCCGCCACTGCCAAGCGCTCTGGGACGCTACCCTGCATGAGGGGCGCTGTGTAAATGCGAGTTGTTGTTATTCAACTTGAAAGGTGGCTTTAGCCACTACCTCATGTTGGTTGTGCTCCCAGTACTTTGCCGAAGCAGCCATTATTCATTTTGTGAGGCTCGTCAACTATTGCCTGCGACAGCATAGATCTGCGAGGCACTTTGAGAATTTTAGGTGCTGTATCAAATGTTGGGATTATTATTATTACTTTTATTTAGTGCAGTGCCCCTTTTAGGCTGCCTCCAGCGTGGACTGCCAGGCTCACTGTCATTATTCCATGTTCCTTCCGCACCCTGCCTTGGGGAGATGGGGGCAGGTTGCAGGTGGGCAGATTGCAAGCAAACTGCGCTTTGTGTTCAGTGAGCCCCACTCTGAGCGCCCACCACATTTCACAATCTGATGTTTGTAATTGGAGCATCAGCAGCAGAGATCCGGCTTTAGGAGTTTTACCACCAATAAGGAATATTGCTGCCTTAAGCTGAGAGCATCAGTTACCTTCTCTGATTATTCTTATTATAGATTGTGCTGAGTAACAGTGCTGGCATTTCAGCCTCTCCTCAGCCCGTCAATTTGTTTTAAAAAAAATTTAAATTAGGCTACTTGGATTGTGATATAAAAAAAATTATATTGCAATATCTGCCCCCTCTATCTCCTCCTCAGCCCCTCTCACCATAAGAATAATATGCTTACATTCAACTGCACACTGATAAACAAAACTTGCAATAAATGTGTTCAGGGCTTGTGCCCCAAGAGAGGAACCCCAATCACAGCCTGCCTGAGCTATGAATAATAGTAATAAAATGAAGTATGTTTAGCTGAGCTTAGGCACTTTAGCCAAGAAAAGAGGGAATGTACAAGAAACTCAGATCAATGCAAAGATTATTATTATTTATCAATACTTTCAAAATCGCAAAGGCAGCAAGCCACAGGTTCAGGAACTATCAAGGAACCTGGAGAAGGTGGGGGGTGGGGGTGAAGACAGCAGAAAATATTTTTTTAAACAGAAATTTGTCAAATTACGCTTTTTTATATAAAAAAATAACTGGATAAATACTTAACGTGGGAAGTCCCTGGGATAGTTCCAGGCCAAGAAGTTCTAACAACACAAGACAATGGTTCCTTTGTGGCTATGGCTTGAGAGAGTTGATCTCATCCGTGGAGAGCAGCCAGCGAGGAGGTGTAGGTAATATTCTAATCCCCCAAAGCCTCACCTGGCCTCAGTTGTCTTTTCAATTTTAACTCTGGAACTGCATCCCGCAGTCCCTCTGTCTCTCCCTTACCCCCTTGAAGATCCATCTCAAGACCTTGCTCTTCCCGACCACCAGCTTACGTCTGGGACATCCTCCCGACGTGAAAGGCACCATACAAACGTAATTTTGTTGTTGTTGTCTTAAATTTTAAGCATGTGCAGAATTTTGACTCTGGAGTTTCAGTTGATCTGGTGGGAATGGGTGACAGCGATTCATGTGGGGGGGTTACAATGACAATGAGTTACACATCTATAAATTCCTTAAATATCTGAAACTCAGGTAATGCAATTTACCCAAACTGTAAGTGTAATAATCTATTGTACTCCGGGATGTAATCCAGACAACTAATCTGTGCTTCAGGGAACATAAAACTACTTCAGCATTTATACAAAGGGATTAGTTTGTATTGGTGCAGTTCTTTTCATATTTGGAGCGGGATTTCAGACCCACAGCCGAGCAGGTAATGAGATTCTTTATCCAGGTCATTAATCTTCCTGATGCTGCCAGCGATGAAGTCATGTTCACAGTGAACATTGAATCAAAACCCTTCTATAACATGTGATTTTTATTACACACTTGGTAACTTTCAGATATCTGTGGGGGGAGGGGGCAGAATGCAGAGTAAGAGGTCAAGTAATTCCTGGCTGGAAGGGGTGGGGAAGAATTAAGTAGGAAGAGTCACTCTAGATTCCTATAACACGCTTTCAAAGGGTTGAAATTCCATTTGCTGTTGCGTGAAGGGACTTTGGCATTTATAAATCCGGTCGTGAATAACAATGGCAATAACTCATTACACCGCCTGAAATCTTACCCCATGAGTAAGTGTCCTGTCCTGACTGAATAGGATTCAGTTCGATTGGCAGATCCCTTTTATGGGGGTAATAATCGATCAAAAAAATTCTGATAATAATTTGGTCACTCAACCCACGACTGTTTGCAGGACACTACTGCGCGCAGTTGGCTGCCGCTTTACGTCCTCAAACTACACAGTCAATTCACTTTACAGTACATTTTGTGAAGCGCTTTACGCTTTGAGAAGATGTGGTAAGGCGCTATATCAAACGCAAAGATTATTATTCACGAGTTACAACCTAAAGGGCGGGCAGAGTAACGAATGATACGTTTGTTTTTGGTTTCTGAATGTAGGGTACGAATACTTGTGATTCCCGCAAACGTTGGTGAGTTTCAGATGAAAAGTTTCGCTTTATTCCTGACACGCACGCTTTTCTCTTTGCCATCTAAGTAGAGATCGAACAGAATGGTCCATCGAGACAACCCAAGGATGTCCTTCGGGACATGCAGCAGGGCCTCAAGGACGTGGGGGCGAATGTGCGAGCGGGAATCAGCGGCTTTGGTGGAGGAGTAGTGGAAGGAGTGAAGGGAGGGCTGTCGGGCCTCTCGCAGGCCACCCACACCGCGGTGGTCTCCAAGCCCCGGGAGTTTGCCAGCCTGATCCGCAACAAGTTCGGCAGCGCCGACAACATCGCCCACCTGAAGGACCCGTTGGACGAGTCACACCCGGAGGAGGCAGCCAGGACTCTGAGCGGCAGCGCCACGCTGGTCTCCAGCCCCAAGTACGGCAGCGACGACGAGTGTTCGAGCGCCACGTCCGGCTCCGCGGCTGGCAGTAACTCGGGGGCGGGCGCCGGGGGCATGGGCAGCCCCAAGTCAAACACACTGGACAGCCACCACAACAACTTTGATACTATCCTGGACGAACTGCGCAAAATCAAGGACAGCCAGTCGCACCTGGAGGACGCCATGGAGGACTTGAAAGGGCAGCTACAAAGAGACTATGCCTACATGACCCAGTGTTTGCAGGAAGAGCGATACAGGTAGCGTTGCTTACACTTGTGGTAATGGGCTTTGGAAGTGGGGAACACGGGTGTGTGTACACGGCTGCGGACCTTCCCCCAACAAGCTCCCTTCCCAACGACACTTTTCTGTCACGTTTGCCTGCATAAAAATAACAATAATAATCCTTGCATTTAACACAGGGCATTATCGAAGTCTTCCGGACGTCTCAAAGAGTGTCTCAGAATATACCGTTTTGCCCACAAAACACACATGCAATTCACTTTACAGTTTATCCTGTGAAGGGCTTTGAGACGCCTCGAAGCCTCTGGTAAGGCGCGGTATTAAATGCAAAGATTATTATTATTATTATTAAAGCGAATCGGCTGTGTGTTTTGTTGGGCCGAACGTCGAGTCGCAGTGACCGTTATTTGTCGCGTAGCGAAAAGTAAAAACAGTCGCCGCAACTGGACAGCGATTCCCCGTGAACCGCTTTGTAACGTTCCCACATTGTCAAACTATAAGTATAATAATTAAATTACATTATCTTTATAAACTGAACGGCCGGAGGTGGAAAGGAAAGGGTCAGGTGCCGGGACTTGCAGTATCTCCGAGGAACTGCAGGCGGCGCCGCTGACTGCTGCCTCGTACCGGCACAGCAGCACCACCGCCTGGCGATAAGCGGCGTCGCAGCTGCCTGCAAAATTCATCTTAAAATAGACGCACAAAATCGTTGACAGGGCCTCGCATTCAACCATCATAATGGCCCCCTTTCCCCCCCCTCCCACCCCCTCCCACCCCCACCCCCTTCCCCTTCCCCCCCAAAAAAAAAAATCAAATGATTTTTAAATCTAATTTAAGACGGTCAGACATGTAAGGGCAGTCAGTTCGGTTACTAATTTGCTTTCCCCCTTTCGAGCTTTTCTTTAATCTCCCATTTTCCTCCCCACATTAAAAGGTCACCGAAGTGTGAGCTTCAGGAGAAGGCAAAACTGGAAGCTTTTCCCGCAGTCCTCAGCCAACTGTGCTGTGTAACTGGCACTGGAGTCCTGTAGCTCAGTGGTTAGAGCACTCGCTTTGCAAAGCGAGAGACCTGAGTTCAATCCCCGGGGGGTCAGGGCCGAACCTCGGGCAAGTTTCCTTACTCCACACAGAGCCTAATAATAATCCCTCCAAAAACCCAAAACAATAATAAATTGGTCATTTTCAATCCACGACTGTTTGTGGGACATTGCTGTGCGCAATTGGCTGCCGCGTTCGCCCACAAATATACAGTCAATTCACTTTACAGTATATTCTGTGAAGCGCTTTGGGACGTCGAGAAGACGTAAAAAGCGCTATATCAAATGCAATGATTATTATATTATTATATGAAACGTGCACTAGTGAGATGCACATGAGAGCTCTCTCCTCTATTGATAAGCTGTTTTATCTAATACTGCACAGTAGAACCAGAGGACACAGTCTGCGTTTGTAGGGGGTAAATTTAGAACAAATCTGCAGAGACGCTGCTTCAGTGAGCGAGTAGTAAACTTATGGAACAGGATCCCTAGGAAGACTGGGGAAGCAAAAAATGTTCTTTGTTTCAAGAACAAATGAAATAGATTTTCTGCTGTAAAAAAAAATCTCGGATACAATATATAGTTTGGGACACAACATGTCAAGCGACTGCCAAGATTGTGGAAGGTAAACTATATGGATCTTGATCATCACACCTAGCAAATTCCTATGTTCCTCCTCTTCCCCTGCTCTTTTTTTCCCTCCCCCATTGTGTATGGGCTGGTGCTCAATCTCCCAACAACAACAACAACAACAACAAGATTCCATTTATAGAGCGCCTTTCACGTCAGGAGGACGTCCCAAGGCGCTGCACAGTTGGGTCATGACCCGAGCATTGGGGGGAAATGGTCAGGGTGAGGGGAGGGAGGGAGAGAGGAGGGGGGAAATGGTCAGGGTGAGGGGAGGGAAGGGAGGGAGCGAGGAGGAGGAAGAGAGTCGAGAGGGGAGCTGAAGGCTCGGTCAAAGAGAAAGGTTTTGAGACCGGCCTTGAAGGAGGAAAGGGAGGAAGCAAGGCGAAGGCACTGGGGGATGGAGTTCCAGAGCCTCGGGGCTGAGAGGCTGAAGGCCCGACCACCGATAGTAGGGCGGTTGGGGCGGGGGACGTGGAGCAGACCGGAGCCAGAGGAACGGAGGGTACGGGCAGGTAGGTAGGGGGATAGTAGGTTGGAGAGGTAGGAGGGAGCAAGGCCGTGAATGGCCTTGTAGGTGAGGATGAGGATCTTGAAATCAATCCTCTGGGGGATGGGGAGCCAGTGGAGGCGAGCGAGGGTAGGAGTGATGTGGTCCCGAAGCCTGGTGCGGGACAGTACACGAGCTGCAGAGTTCTGAATGACCTGCAGCTTGTGGAGGGAGGTGGCGGGAAGGCCGGCGAGGAGAGAGTTCCCATAGTCCAGCCTTGAGGTGACAAAGGCGTGAACCAGGGTTTCAGCAGCGTGAGGGGTGAGGTAGTGCCGTAATCTGGCGATATTCCGGAGGTGATGGAAGGCGGTGCCAGTTGTGGTGCGGATGTGAGGGAGAAAGGACAGCTCAGGGTCGAACAAAACGCCGAGGTTCCTGACTGGCTTTGAGAGGTGGAGAGTGCAGCCTTGGATGCTGATGGTGTCAGCGCCTGAGGTGCGGAGGCGCTGACGTGAGCCAATCAGGAGGGCCTCGGTTTTTCGCACGTTGAGCTGAAGAAAGTTGTCTCTCGTCCAGGACTCGATGTCGGACAGGCAGGCTGTCAGGACATCGGTGGTCGTGGAGTTGAGAGTAGAGGAGGAAAGGTAGAGTTGGGTGTCATCCGCATACATGTGGAAGTTAACCCCATGTTTGCGGATGATGTCACCGAGGGGGAGCATATAGAGGGTGAAGAGGAGGGGACCGAGGACAGAGCCCTGAGGGACACCACATGAGACAGTACGGGGGGTGGAGGAGAAGCCATTCGTTGAGACGAAGTGAAGACGGTGGGAAAGGTAAGAGCTAAACCATTCAAGGACAGTGCCTTGAAGGTTGAGGTGGGAGGACAAGCGGTGGAGTAGGATAGCGTGGTCGACCGTATCGAATGCTGCCGATAGGTCGAGGAGGACGAGGAGACAGAGGGAGCCCTGGTCACAGATAGTCAGGATATCATTGGTGACCTTGACCAGGGCAGTTTCTGTGCTATGAGCAGCACGGAAACCTGACTGAAGGGCTCCCACTGGAGCTCTCTACTCTAATCCCATCCCAATGTGGGGAATGAAGGAAAAACCAAGAAAATTCACTGCATTCCTCCATCCGCCCACATGGTGACTTATCATTAGAAAAGGGACATGACTAGTCAAGCTGTTTGATGCTTTGCTTTATCAACAAAAGATATCAGTTGAATACACATTAGGTTTGTGGTTGCCTTATAGATATGAACGTCTGGAGGAACAGTTGAATGATCTGACAGAGCTCCATCAGAACGAGATGTCTAACTTGAAACAGGAACTTGCCAGCATGGAGGAGAAGGTGGCCTACCAGTCTGACGAGAGGGCCCGAGATATCCAGGTACACACTGCTGGAAACCATTAATAAAACTGAGCTCCGGTTACCTGTTGACACGGTTGTCACAGATTCTCAGGGCACTGTTCGAAAAGAGAAGGGAGTTTCCTCTGGTTTCCTGGCCAACAGTCCTCCAGATGAAATTGGTTATTCACTTTGTGGCTGTCTGTGGGACCTTGCTAACTGCAAATTGGCTGGTGAATTTGCCGATCAATACACAGCAACTACATAGAAATAGGAATAAGCCATTCAGCCCTTCGAGCCTGTTCTGCCTTCTATAAGATCATGGCTGATCTGTACCTCAAGTCTAATGACCCCTGTAACCCTAGATCCCCTGGCCTAACAAATATCTATTCACCTCAGCCTTGAAAAGTTGAATGCATCCAAAATCCACAGCCTTTAGACATCTTACACCTTATAGATGCTGAGGTAAATGCAAGGATTACTATTTGTCTGTTCGCCATCCATGACGTGATCTCACCTCCTTCCCCTGTCCCCCTGCGTTTTGCTCATTTTCTGGTTACTTCGGGGTATCTTATCTTCCTGCTCAGATGGCAACACATCCGGCTTCGGCTAAATTCCCGACCTGGTGAATCTTTCTCAGGGCTCAGCAGTTTCACTCGCCAGACTTAAATGACCGCAAGATCTCAAGCTTCCCACTTGCCACCGTGTCCTTGACTGTGATGAATCCATCGCTTCCGCCCCCTCAGCTGCCTGCCATGCAGTGCTGTGGGAAGAGAAGGGTGAATAAGAGAAAACAGAATGTATTTTTAATGTCTGCAGTTAAGAATGTCTGTGGTTTGTGAACGTGTGGGTGGTGGGGAGCGAGGGAGGTTGGGTCAGCATGCTATCCTGTTGTTCGTCTTCATTCAAACAGACTTTGAAGTGTTACATCCCAGATAAACCTTGTATTGCTGACGGCACTGTTCATAGACAAGACACCGTTCCTATGTGTTGCAGAAGTGGCTGAGCAGACACATTCCCGAGCTTGTCTGATCCAGCTCTCGAGCATCGCTTGCATCCACTGTCTGGTGACCTCCCAGTTTTGCAGCCGTGATGAGCTCATCCGGTCTGAGCTATTTTAATTAACCCTTTGGCCGATCAAGTCCACACTAGTCTCTGCAATCCCACTCTCCTGATTGTCACTCGATCCCCCATTGTTTGTGGGACGCCGCTGCGCGCAATTGGCTGCCGCGGTTCGCCCGCAAACCACACAGTCACTCCCGCTCTACAGTATATTCTGTGAAAGCGCTTTGAGACGTCTCGGAAGACGGGATGAGGCGCTGTATCAAATGGAAGGCTTATCATTTTTATTATTAAGTCACTGACATGAGGCTTGAGCGTACTGCCTCTGACCCAGACATGAGACGGCCGCTGACTGAGCCAAGCCAAGCTGTCACCGGGTTGTTGTTGGCGTAGCGTGGTGGTTTCTCATTTCCATGATCTCTGCCTCTCTGCAGGAAGCCCTGGAGTCCTGCCTGACCCGCATCACCAAGCTGGAGCTCCAGCAGCAACAGCAACAGGTGGTGCAGCTGGAGGGAGTAGAGAACGCCAACGCCAGGGCCTTGCTGGGCAAGTTCATCAACGTCATCCTGGCCCTGATGGCGGTCATTCTGGTCTTCGTCTCCACCATCGCCAACTTCATCACTCCTCTCATGAAGACCCGATTCCGAGTGCTCTGCACGATGTTACTGGTGCTCTTCCTGGTGTCCTTGTGGAAACAGTGGGACAATATCGTGCACGTCTCACAACAAATAGGCTTAATCAGCTGATGTGGACAGTGGTGGGTGCGGCTGGCAGATCCGTGTGTGATTATTTTTCCAAGGTTTCCAGGCCTTTCGTTCCCCTCCTCCCTCCTTCCCTCCCCTTCCTCCCTCCCACTACCCATTGTTGTCAATCACATTGTGAGCGAGGCAACTAACTGTACTCGGCATCGCAGCCTGGGACCACGATAAGGCCTGGAGTCAAAGGGACGAAAGGAGAATAGCGACCAAGCCAGCTTTGCCAGACTGCCCTGCGCAGACCTGCACGCAGAAGGAAGACAGATCGACATGGTCCATAATGACTAGTACCATCTCAGTATTGCATCTTTCCCCCCCAACCTCACCTCCACCTTGTTAATTTATAACAATATATTTAAGTCTCCTTTTTTGTAGGGGGGGAAAAGAAGGGAGGAGTCTGTAATGTTTGTGTTACTGCCTATTTATTTATGACTATTGCATTGGGTAATATAGCAGAAATGATTTGCACATTCCCCTCTCTCTCTAACCCGAGCTTGATCGCATTGCACATTCCTATTTATGTGAAAGAAGAAGAAGAAAAAAAACTCTCTGAAACGAGTTGTTTAAAGGCACTTGTCCTGGATCTGATTTCCATGGACTGAAAATAAATAATCAGTCCTTTTATGGGAAGGCCACAGTCCATAACTCAAGAAATACGTTTAAGTGCTTGAGAATTTGTCCCAAGTAACTAAAACAAGTAGCCATTCCTGGATATTCCACCCCCCCCCCACCCACCTCTCTTTCTCTTCATCTCTCTTACTTTCCCCTCCCCTTGATGACAATCACTGCTCCCCCACAGCAGTGAACGTAGACTGGTTCAGGTCACCCCGTCAGTCAAGCACAAACCTCCCCACGCCTGAAATGCATCATGTGTTAAGATCATTGTCTGAAGGTTTTAAGGTCGTGCAGAATTTTGCGAAAAGTCTTAAATTTAGTTGTAATTTGACAGCTTTTTTTTCGGGGTTCTTTATAATATACATACAGTGTGTATATATAATATATATTATATATATATGTGTGTAAAAAAAAAACTGCTTCCAAATTAAGACTGTAGGCTTCAGAATTGTTTCCAACGCTCTGTAAGGCCTTAACATCTTTAAACCGATTGTTTTAAAAGCTGAAAACATGTGTGTTTTGGGGCCTCAGAGAGGTCAAACGCACGGTGAGCTATCGTAAGGGGTGGGGGGGGGGGGGGGGTCCTGGTTGTTGCGCGAACTGACTCTGCGTTGCAGAAGAGGTGACTGGCTGGTGCGGCTGGACTGTGACACGGAATCTGGGTTGATTTAGGCTGCATTCATTAATTAATACATCAGGAAATGGTTGTGCACGTTATATACAGTACTGTGAAAAACACTTGTGATGTTACAAAGCCGCTGCCTGTTATTAAGCGCCAGACTGCGGCGGGGAGGCTGCGTAGGCCAAAAGGACAGGAGCCGACAAACTAACAAAAGCTGTGCTTTTTACCCGCTTTGCTCTCGGCTTGTGCGTGGCGAGTCGCCCGGCTCCTCTTGCGGAAACACTGCCGCGGTCTTTCGCTTGCCACTTTCAGCAGTGCCTCGTTGCACTCTTGGGGCATCGACGGATCGCTTTTCCGGGGGTGATAATCCCTTAAAAAAATAATACTACTAATAATAATTTGGTCACTCAATCCACAACTGTTTGTAGGGACGCTGCTGTGTGCAATTGGCTGTTGTGTTCCCCGCCCCAAATATACAGTCAATTTTTATAGTATATTCTGTGAAGTGCTTTGAGATGTCTTGCAGAAGTAATAAGGCTCTATATCAAATGCAAGGATTCTTATTATTACTTGCTGCCAGCCGTTTCCCAATAGGAGCATCACCCCCCCCCCCCCCCCCCCCCTCCCACACACACACACGATGCAGTTCGCTGCACCATAATGCACTTTATGAAAATCTCAGTCTCATTCCATTCAGAAGCTTCTCAAACTCTCTCGACTTTCACTGCATGGAAATAATCGCTGCTCTCTTCTCGCTTCGGGGTCTGTGCAACAAATAACAATCCCAACAAAACCGCCCACGCGGGTGCGTTCCTGCTATAAAGTGCCTACAACAAGCCGGCTGGCTCACAGCCTTCTACTTCTGTCCTCACCTCTGCTCGGCACGTTCTGAAATCCCATTGCATCTCGGAAGCGGGGTGGGGGGGGGGGGGGAGGTTCGGAAATGGATGCCAAGAGATGTCAAAAAAGGCATTGGAAGGACTTAGAAGTCCCAACTGCACAGCTGTTGACAGGGTGGAAGGGGGTGGGGGGTGGGGGGGGGAGGTATTTGTGGTCACACGACCCAAATACAAGAGGTACTGATAGATTTAACCCCACTTGCACTGTACAAACGGCCTCTCATTGGTTCCGTAGCCATCCGAAAATCTATAGGAAACTGCCTCTTTACAACACGCTGTCTGGCTCTCAAAGGCATTCTTTATGGGGTGGGGGGGTGTGGTGGGGGGGGGAGGCTCTCACTCAGTACGGATAGAAAATACAGAAGTGTCTGTAACCTGGTATGTTGTGTTACAGGCGTTTTTAAGATTGTTTTGTCTTTAAGGTGGTCACTGCTAATGAGGGGGAAGGGAGGGGGGGAAACTGCTATTTATTCTTTGTGTTCATAAGGTCCAACATTTAATTTTTTCTGTCATTCAGTGCGAAACCTGAAGTTAAAACCTGTCTTTTTTTTTATATTAAAAAAAAAATCGCTATTATTCAGAGAATTCTTTCAGTACCTTTTTGAGGTTCGAACTCTCTCATCGGTGGTTGTTTTCCAATGCGGATCCCGTTCCGACAGTCTGTCTCTGGGATTTCCGCGTGTGGCCGGGACGCATGGAATTCTCAGTTGGGTGTGGAGGCTCTCGGGAGCACAGTGATGGGTTTCCGCACGAGACAGACACCCGTCTGACCCAAAATAAAATCAGTGGGGACTGCTTCACCGCTTCACAGACATTGCAGACTATTTCCATTCTAACAGCCATCGGTGAAGTGTGTGTGTGTGCGTAAGTGTGTTTTTTGGTGTGGGGGGGGGTGGCGGGTAGAGAGAGAACGGGCAGAAAGGTAAGATTATTCCTCTCACCCCCATGTCAGGAGATTTTGTTTTAAATTCCCTCACTGTCCAACACCCCCCTCTCCCCCCACCTCTCCCCCCGTGTGTTGACTGCTCTTCCACAAATGCTGCTCGTTTATGTTTACTTGAAAGACTCCCAAATATACAGTCAATTCACTTTACAGTGTGTTCTGTGAAGCGCTTTGGGACGTCCTCCCGGCGTGAAAAGCGCTATATCAAATGCAAGGATTATTATTATTATTATTATTATTATTAAGTGGTCAACGGGCCTCTCGACACAGGAAAAACACAAACTCTTTGTGGACACCTTGATGGATAGCGTGTCACTGTGTCTGACTGGTGGAGTATGTGGAAAATACCAGTAAATTATCCTCCTCTCTCTCCCTCTCCTCTCTCTCTCTCTCTCTTCCACCACTACCCCCAGTTTTGGAATTTTAAAACACCAACTCGAGGCTTGTTGAGAGCCTATTTTGTTTTAAGTTTGAGTTGACGACGTCTGAAAGTCCTGCAAACCGGCCGGCTCACCGTATTTGTTTCCATCCCTATTCCTTAGCCGTTCCGAGGTGCTGCCCCCACCCCACCCCCCCTTCACGCCCGCCCAATGTGTGTGTGTGCGAGCGCTGAACCAGTTTCTTCACAGTCTACTTAAACCCATTCCTAAGCCAAAGAGTTTGATGTAGTCGTGTCTTCGAGCCATGTCGTCTGAGGAACAAGATATCATAGAGAGGGAGAGGAAACGAGAGAGGGAGTTTGAGGGGGTTGAAGGTGACATTTTTTTCAGAACTATTTTAAATCTCTGGGCAATCGTGCACAAGTGTCACAGACGAGGAGACAGTGACTGTCAAGTCTGAGGAACATCACCTGCAGTGTTCTTTCTTATCCTTTTTTTGCGCTCAACGTGGAATGGTTGGGGCCCGGGAGTTTATAATCTATAAACTTGTATCAAACTGTCCCATCATCTGTCCGTCTGTCTGTCTGTCCGTCTGTCTGCTGTACTTTTTTTCTGAAAGGATAAATGTTACGGATAAATCTGTACTTCTGCGTAAATTACATCCAGAAAACCTTAAAATAAAATTGTCAGAGAAAAAAAAAAAAGAATTTTTTTAACAAATTATTCCGGAGATGTTCTTTTTTATTTCTCTCTCTTATCACTGGAGCCCCGTGGCGTTGCGGTTAGATCACTCGCCTCGCAAACGAGAAGACCTGTGTTTGATTCCCAGGCAAAACCTGAGGCAAGTTTCCAGACCCTCTGTTCAACGAGCAGTAAGTAGGAAGCTGGTTGTTAGTCGATTGGCGGATTGCTTTACCGGGGGGTAATAATCCCTTCGAAAAATAATAATAAATTGGTCACTCAAACCACGACTGTTTGTGGGGACGCTGCCGTGCACATTTGGCTGCTGTGTTGCCCGCCCACAAAATATATACAGTCAATTCACTTTGCGGTATATTCTGCGAAGCGCTTTGAGACGTCTCGAAGACGCGATAAGCCACTGTGTCAAATGCAAGGATTATTATCATTTTTATCCCTCACTTGCGTTCAAAGAGACCCGTGGAGGTTGAAGTTCACGCTATTTACTCTCAGCTTTTCGTGGGGTCTCTTCAGTCCACAATCTTTTTGATCTCTCTTGCTTGCCAGTTGTTCTCTGGCTTTGATCCAGAGCAGTTCAAGGCATTCCTGGGCACAAGTCCTGAGCTGTACGGTGGTTTTGCAATGAGAGTAAATTCCAGTCCAACTTTTTTTGCTGGATGTGAAGCCAGTTCTTTATATAGCCAACCAGAGGTCCGAAATTCCCCCTGTTCTTAGTCTTGAAACTATTGCATTGATCCTGTGGAATTTTGAAAAATGCCTTCAATTCGGTCTCAATTATTTTTGGATACCCATCGAAAAATCCAAGGTTTCCACCCAAACTGGAAAAACAAGACTTTTTTTTCCCCCGGATATCCTATCGGATCTTTAAATTTTAGCACTACCGTCTGAAACCCAGCATTTTTGTTCACATTTTGTGGGAATGTTACCCACTAAACCGACACCTGTTAATGATGATGTGAACAGCATAAAGTATATCCCTAACACACACACACACACACACCACACACACACAGACGCTGGTGGGGTGCGTGGAACGCTCAGCTTGGTTTGGAGACTCTTAAACACGCTGATGGGTTCCCACGTGTGTCAGACACCCGGCTGCCCCCTCACCACACCCTCCCACCCCCCCAAACATTAGGCAAATGCCTAAATTGGTGTTGCCGGCTTAGATTAAGAAAATGGTCTGACAGAGTGAGGCTAAGGTGGAATGTCAGAGCTCAGAGAAGGTTAAGGGACAGGCCCGAGTGTATACAGTAATATAATGATGGCGTCGCTGGTAACAGCTGAGATCGCTGGTGCCTGTGACTGGCTGGGGTGGCTCTACGTTCTGCCCA